TGATTTCTTTTGTTCTATGTTTGAACAGGTAAAAGGCATCTTTCAACTTTATAAGTCCATTTGGACTGCATAATCAAACTGTAATATAAATCTCTATCCATGCCATATGAAAGGATGGCATGTAATAATAAGTCTTGAGGACTCTGTAACCAACAAGATTTAACATGTCTCATCTCGTTTCTGAGCTGTTCCCATGCAGAGGGATCAGTTAACATGTCACCTGTCCTGTAGTCTTTCTTGGCTTCCTCCCCCATGTCTGTAGCCAAGATACTTAGGAGGTCTCCCCTGTCAAATCTGATCTATATTAACCTGGAAGGAATCCACAACCCTTCGTTTCCTGTAAAAATGAAAGCATAGCCTCTTCCCCAAAGTAATACATTTTTACTTCCATTTCAAAGTTAAGGTGTTCCTAAAGTACACGGGTTGGATTAACTTAACAGTCTCTTCCACAATCCAACGTCTCTCAGCAGCTGTTGTCTGTTCATTAGCATTCAAAATATTCAAAACTAATAAAGCACCATAAAAGGTCCGACCTCCCTGTGTTATAGTATTTCCCATTCTTTTTTTTTTTTTTTTCAAGACAGGGTTTCTTTGTGTAGCTTTGGAGCCTGTCCTGGATCTCACTCTGTAGTCCAGGCTGGCCTCGAACTCACAGAGATCCACCTGGCTCTGCCTCCCGAGTGCTGGGATTAAAGGCGTGCGCCACCACCGCCTGGTTTATACTGTCATTTTTACATGTAGTGGACCATATATTTCTTACATAGAGATAACTTGGACACAAAAATAGAAATTTGTCTTTACATATTCTTTTCTTTCCTCATAATTTAAAAAAATTATCATTTGGGAATTTCACTTCATGTACCCCAATCCCATCACCTCCCAGTCCTCCCTGATCCACCCTCACCCTTGGGACTCGCCCCCAAAAGAAAGAAGAAAAACGCCCCCCACAAGTCCAATTTGTGTTGCCCATACACTCACTGAAAACGGTCAAACTCCCAGAAGCCAGCCCCTTAAAGAAAGCTGAGGTCCTCATCTGCGCCCTGGACAGCAGTCCTCAGCTGTGGAGAGCTACACTTCAGCATCCTTATCACAGTTTTTAAGAGTTCTCTTCAATGGTTTCCTGTCTAGGCTGTCACTGTTTTGGGTTGGAGGTAGGGCAGGAGTTGTCACTGAAGCCTTCTCTGTCCCTCTTTCTCAGTTCTGAGTCTGCAGTCATCAATAACACTGCAGAAGTAGTTTCCTTGCCCTCTACCGTCGGGAGGGAACATGTTTCATGGACTTCCACATGGTTTCTGGTGAGCACAGATCACAGATATCCACATGGTCTCCAGCATCAGCACGTGCCATGGACTTCAGCATGGTCTCTGGTGGCAATACAGATCACGGACATCAACATAGCCCTCTGCCACAGCACCAGCCACAGACACTATCATAACCCTCCATGGCAACACAGGCCAAGGACATCATCCTGGCCTCCAGGACAACATGGGTCAAGGACACCAACAAGGTCTGCACTAGTAGTCCAGCCCTAGAACATCAACGTGGCTTCAGGTGGCAGTACAGGCCACAGACATCAACATGACTTCAAGAGAACACAGGCCACAGCCAACAACAGGGCCCCTGGCTGTGGCAGGACCACTGACCCAGACGTAGCCCTTGGTAGCAGCATGGCCCACTAACATCAACATGGCTGCATGAGGCAGCACAGATCATGGACATCAGCATGGCCTTCTCTCACACCTGTCTAGTTCTGCCTCTCTCCATCACCCACGCACTGCTCTGTTCCTTCATCTTTCCCACCTCTCCATCGCATATTCTTTTGTCATAGTGGCGTTGGAAAATGCAGTGTGTCACACAGGATTTTTTTTTTCCCAAACAGTTTTACATGCAAATACACATTGCAATGAGTTGTTGGTCTGGTTCAAGGTTTCTGGTTTCTGATGCACCATAAATACTGGACCATCACCAGGACTCATCTCAGATATCCAGCTGTTGCCCAGAGTCAGGGTGATCTTGAGACGGGCAGGTTCCAAAGAGCAAGTTTCAGGCTGCCATACCCCTCCCCCCTCAATGTCAGCCTCCTGCCTCCCTGAGGCTCCCTAGGCTCTCCCTTTGTGTTTGTAGCCTGCAGGCAGCATCACCACCCCACCACCCCACCCCGCCATCTACCAGTAGGGCAAAGGGCATGGGCTGCAGCCTCAGTGATGATATCTGGTTCTGTAGGACTGGTTCCTCCACACGCTCCAGCAGCTGGTAGATAGATGGAGTAGATGTCGGGGTGGACCAACTCAAAGCAGTGGATCCGGGCCTGGATGGCAGCAGATTGGTCAGCCTAGGGGCTTCTGCTTACATATTCTTTTTTTTTTTTTTAATGATTTATTTATTTTCAGTTTATGTGCACTGGTATTTTTGCCTGCATGCATATCTGTGTGAGGGTGTCAGATCCTCTGGAACTGGAGTTACAGACAGCTGTGAGTTGTCATGTGGGTGCTGAGAATTGATCCTAAGTCCTCTGGGAAGAGGAGCCCGTGCTCTTAACCACTGAGCCATCTCTCCAGCCCCTACATATTCTTATATGAAAACTTATTAGCTACCCAGGCAGTGATGGCATGCATCTTTAATCCCAGCACTCAGGAGGCAGAGGCAGGTGGTTCGAGGCCAGCCTGGTCTACAGAGCAAGTTCCAAGACAGTCAGGGCTACACAGAGAAACCCTGTCTTGAAAAAGCTCAAAAAACAAACAAACAAACAAACAAAACCTCAAAAGCAAGAAAGAAAAAAGTTACTGGAAGAGTGGGAGAGGGGTTGGGGGTGAATATGTTCAAGATACATTGTATATATGTATGAAATGGTCAACGAATAAACAAAAAAATGATAAACTTTGACTGAAACTATCTTCTATTTAGAATTAGAAAAACTATAAAGTTCACTTGAAATCACATTTTTAGGGTGTGGCCATAGCAGGTTCCCCACGCCCCAGTGGATAAGCTCACGTAGAGGTGGCACTAACTGGACCCAGTGGGTGAGAAAAAAAAAAAAGACAATTCAAAACGAGTAAATAAATTTTTTAGAGCTGGAAGTATGCCACCATACTTTTTGAATCATCTACCATTCAAAAATGACAAAATTATTAAAAAATTTCTAGCAGTGTTTCGTGAGTTAAAAAAGCATTAATTAGGAGTGTTGAAAAGACGGTTCAGCAGTAAGAGCAGGTACGGTTTTCCAGAGGAAATGAGTCCATTTCCCAGCACCCACATTAGGTGTCTTACAACTGCCTGTAACTTCCGTTCCAGGGAATTTGATGCCCCTAGACTTTGCAGGCACCTGCACTCACGTGCACATGCCTACACACACAAACATGATTAAAATACATTTTTAAAAAGTGTTAGGAAGCCTGCCCTCCACATGACTCCTTACTTGAAAGACGCAGCATACTGTGTCGGGCCCGGGTGTGGGCAGGCCGGTGTCACAGAAACCTTAGCTCTGTGTAGGGCCTGGGAAGTAAGTGCTCCTGCATCCGATGTGTGGGCAGAACCAGACTTCCTACAGTAACGCTGGGCACGCATGCAGAGGTGGGGAGGGCCCAAGGTCAGTTTGTAGTGTTTGGAGACAGGGTCTTGTTGTGTAACCCAGGCTGGTTTGAACCCACTGTGCACCCCAGGCGGGCATCAGTGCTGGGGTTACAGGCATGCACCACCATGTTCAGCTCCACAGTGGTTTCAAAGGACAGGAGGATACACTGTCCTGGGTGTCATTTGCCTTTACTGTTCTCCAAGTCCCGTGACTGACCCCATCAGAATCTCAAGATCTGTCACTTCCGGGGTCTGGAGGGCTTCCTGACACTGCCCCTTTTCTGGTTTATTTCCTAGGGAGAGCTAGGTCAGCCTTCACTGAGGACAGGGCCTGCTGAACCTTCCTTGGCATGTCACGTTGTGAGACTGGGCCCAGTGAATCTTTCTTCTCCTCTTCTTTTGGTTTTTCGAGACAAGGCTTTTCTGTGTAGCCCTGCCTGTCCTGGAACTTGTTCTATAGACCAGGCTGGCATCGGACTCACAGAGATCCGCCTGCCTCTGCCTCCCGAGTGCTGGAATTAAAGGCGTGCGACACCACCGCCCAGCTCTCCTGTCATTTTTTACCCCAGCATGTATCTGCAGAACTCTGGATAGGCACTTTGCTAGAGACAGTTTCATTACAGTTCTCTGTGAAGCCAGGATTCACTGTCAAGTTTACCCACAAGAGAGGGAGCCTAATGGTCCTGAGTCAGAATGCTGGGTTGCTGGCTACTTCAGGTACCTACAGCATGCAGCCTCAGGCAAGCAGGGCCCTTCTCTCCTCCGAGCCAAATAAACGGGGCCCTTACTTTTTTGTTTGTTTATTTTGTTTTTCGAGACAGGTTTCTCTGTGTTAATAGTCCTGGCTGTTCTGGAAATCGCTTTGTAGACCAGGCTAGCCTCGAACTCACAGAGATCCACCTACCTCTGCCTCCTGAGTGCTGGGACTAAAGGTGTGAGCCGCCACCGCCCGGCCAAACTGAGCCTTTTCTTAGAGCCCTAAAGTTCTGCTTCCTGTCCTTCCAAGCCTGAAACCCTGGACCTTGAACCCAGGCCCTCGCACAGGCTAAGCAAGATCCTTATCACTGAGCTACTCCCACCCCTGGCCTGCATTGGTAATTTTTATGTCATCAAACTTATTCATTTGTTCTTTCCAGGGCTTGAGTCCTTTTTTCCCCCTCTCTGGCTAATTAATGTTCTTGGTTGATCCCTCATAAACCCCACTCAAATGTGACCACCGGGCGACAGTGGGGCTCTTTCAGGCAGTCTCTTCTGTTAGACTGCTTGTGCTTGGTGCCTGTCCCTGTACAGCCCCGGGGTGACAGGGTCTCCCCTTCCTGCTTCCGAGGCGACGGCGAAAAGCATCCTTAGCAGCTGACTCTGGTCCAGGCGTGGCGAGGTTAAGGAACGCGACCCCGAGGCCCCGCCCCGGACGCGCCCACAGGCGCCAGGGAAGCTGCCTACCCCGGAGACCGAAACGAGCTCCTCCGAGGTAGAAGTTCTGGCTGCAGCAGCACCAGTCTTGGGGCGCCCAGGTGTCCCCCACTAATGCACTTGGTACCGCCCGGGGATTCCCCGCCGCCGCTGCCGCCCTGACGTCAAGGAGTCCCCGGGAAGCCCCGCCCCGCTGCTCGGCTCCGGCGAGAGCTGTGCGCCGCGGCCGGGGACTGGGCGGCCATGGCGGGACCCGGCTCCCCCGGCGGGCCCTCCGCGCCCGCCGCCGTCTGGAAGCGCCACATCGTGCGGCAGCTGCGGCATCGGGACCGCACGCAAAAGACGCTCTTCCTGGAGCTCGTGCCGGCTTGTGAGTGCGCCCCGGGGGACTCGGGGGTGTCGGCCTTTGAGGAGATGGGGCTCCCCGCCCTGGGAGAGGGCTTGTCCCGCCGCTAGGCTGGTGACTCGGGGCAGCGGCGCTGTCTCGATTTCCCAGCCTTGCACCGGGAACCTGTTTACGCCCCTCCTCGTACTGACCAAGGTCCCTACCTGCCCTTTCCAGCCCAGGCGCCGCTTAGCCCTCAAGACTCAGCTCTGCCTTCCTTGAGCATCCTAGACACTAGCTCCGTCCCTCCGGGCTGGTTTTGCCCTGTACAGGCGGTCCCCATAGCAGGGCCTGGTCAGTCCGTTTGGTCCCCAAAGGCCAGTCAAGGAAGGCAGGCGTGGCCAGAGCAGCCATAGTGGCCGAAAGGAAGGAGCGAAACCCTGGTAGATTCTGCTACTGATAGGTTATCCTGGCACAGGTTTGTGGAGCGTCTCGTTGCCTAGCGGATCATAGGTGCTTCTTGTGCCGGCGAAGACAAGCCCTCATACAGTTATTTCTGGCCAGTTTGGTCAGGAGGGGGTGTGGCAGTTCAAGCCAAGACACACTGGCGTGCGTTTGTACTCACTGCCTCTGGTCAACTGTGACTGTATGTTTGGGCTGGAAGTCTAACCACAGTCCCTGCTGCTGCTTCACTTGCTGCTAATTTTGATGCACCTATGCCATCAAACTTGTTTTTCCTTGGAACTTGCCAGGGGCTGGCCTTTTCTCGAGGTACCTACCTCTATCTACCTCCAGGCAGCCTCAGTTCTCCAACTGCTCTGATGGGCAGTGGGACTATTTGAGGGGGGAACCACCCCCAAGACCTCTATGGGAGTTGTAAGTTTGGGGAAGTAGAGAGACCCAGGTCTGTGATATGGATAATTCAAGTCCTTAACCTCAGATTTCTTACTGGTCAATGAGGCTTATTGTGACCTTGTATGGGGGTGGGGGTGGGGAACTGTGCCATTCGAAGCCTTGGAGTCTGGGGTCGAGTTTTGAGAATTAGGTCAGGCCCAGGAACCTCAGTCAGGTCACAGTGAGAGAGGAAGATGAAGATCTGTGCATGAGTTTTTCAACTCCAGTCTGCCCTGGAACTGGTTTAAAAAAAAAAAAAAAAGCAGAAATGACTGGAAAGGGTGTGGGCGAGGGGGGTCCAAGGTCAAACCACCTAACCTGGGAAGATTGTTAGATAATTGCTCAAGGACTTTCAATATTGACCTGGGGGAAGCTACTGGGTGGAAGTGAGAATTACTTAATTATAAACTCCGAGGCCTTGAAGGGGAAGTGTCTTACTGGAGGGACAGGCAGGTGTGTGTTTTCATGCTTTGGATTCAGACCTCTGGCCGAGATGGATTAATCTCCTTGCTTTCCTTCTGTCCTTTACCAAGTGCGACCTAGCCATCTCTGTCCCCAGCCGTGGTGGTCTTTTTGTCCTTGAGGGAACAGGTTCTCTCCTGGGGGGGGGGGGGGGGCTGTGGGCCAATGCCGTGAGGAGGCTTCACCAGGCAGCATCCACCCCCCAGGAAGGGGCAGAGCCCAGCCCCAGGAGCTTCCCTATTGCCAGGATCCTGGGCTTCTGCAGCCATCCCAGCCTGAGCTAACTGGTATGCCAGGGGTCTGCTGGCGAGTGTCTGCCTCTGCCACAGGCTTGTGCCCTCTTGCATACCCAGATAACCACCTCCTAGAGAAGGCTGAACTGCTGGCCAAGTTCTCAGAAAAGCTGAAGTCAGAGCCAGAGGATGTCACCTCCGCCCCGCATCAGGACTGCTGGTGAGTCTGTATGGGATCACAGCGGGCTGCTTAGGCCTGCCTCTTTGTTGTGCTTTTTGCTTTTGCTATGCACAGCCCTGGCACCTCATCAGCCTGTGGCTACTGGGGATGTGAGACAGTAGACAGCCCCTTGAGTCCCCCCCCAAAGCTGGCTGCTTAGCATCTTCTTCCCAGGCTCTTCTCGTTCTGCGTTTGCCTCCTGTCCTATCCCGCAATCCTGTTTTTCCCTTCTGTGTCTTTTCCCGCTCTCTGTTCCCTACCAGATAGCTACAAAGAGGGGCTTGCTACCCATTCCCAAGAGGGAGTGAACGCAAGAGCAGGAGTAAGTGGGGGGCAGAATGAGAAGAGTGTGTAGCCTAGGCAGGCTGACCCCGAACTCCTGATTTCCTGCCTCTCGGGGGTTGGGATTACAGGTGTGTACCACCGTACTACACCTGGCTCTCTTTCGTGTGTACACGTGTTATTTGTGCATCTGTGGAGGCTGGAGGTTAACACTGTATGTCTTCCTTAATTAGGTTTCACCTTAATTTTTTGAGACAAGGTCTTGTACTGACCCTATAGTGAGCCGATTCAACTTCCCTAGCTCTGGTAAAGTGTGCCAAGTTTTTTTGTTTTTTCGTTTTTTTTGGTTTTGGTTTTTTAAGACAGGGTTTCTCTGCATAGTTTTGGTGCCTGGCCTGGAACTCGCTCTGTAGACCACGCTGGCCTCGAACTCACAGAGATCTGCCTGGCTCTGCTTCTCGAGTGCTGGGATTAAAGGCGTGCGCCACCGCCTCCTGGCCTTGTGCCAGGTTTTTTAATGTAGGTTTTGGGGCCCAAACTCGGGTCTTCATTCTGGTGTGGCAAGCATTGTACTGAGTGAGCCATCCTTCCAACCCTGAGCTATTTTATACAGGGTCTTGTTATGTAGCTCATGCTGATCTTGATCTCAGAATACGGTTTGGCCTCCTGAGTTCTGGGCAAGCAAGTAAGTGCCCTTGTGCTTCTTGAGGGGTGTCACTGGCAGGCACCCAAGGTCTGGACCATCCTGGAGCAGAGGGGTCCTGGACAGCTTATTTCTGAGACTGCCCTTTCTCGGATTGGCTTCCACCCAGCCCAAGAGAAAGCTAATGGCTCCTCGAGCTTCTTATGGGGGCACTCTTAGGGTATCCTTCCGGGACTGGGGAAGAGGAGGGACAATGAATTCTTCTTATTGTCAGGGGGCAGTTCTCCGGGCCTGCCTCTGACCGGGTCTCCTCAGCAGCCTCTCTGAGGATGAAGTGGCAGCAGGAGGAGAAGGAACTGCAGCTGGTCTGTGGTGAGGTAAGCAGGGTGGGGTCTGCGAATGGTGGGCCAGGGGGAGATGGTCCATGGAAGCCGGCACTGAGCGAGTGGTCCTGCATGTGCGGCATTATCTGGGCCAGTGCTCTGCAACTTTATAGTTGCAGGGGAGTATAATGGGGCTTAGAGATGTGGACCCTGGACTCGAACCTTTACCCACACAAATCCATTTTCTGTGACTCTTCATTCATTCTTTCAACACCTATTTATTGACAATCCAGGGAACAGGGAGTGTGGCCATAAACAAGACCTGGCCGTATGGGTTTCCATGGAGACTGATGAGCCAGTAATCACATGTTTTTATAGCATGCCTCCTCACCTGCCCAACACAAGGTAGGAGTGGGTTAGGAAGACATTGGAGAGCCCCTCCCCAGAGTGCTATGTGGTTGTAATTTGAGAGTGGTGTGACATTATCACATGTAGATTTGTGTAGCAATCAGGATATTGCAGTGCTTGTTTACAAGATCTCTTTCTAGCTACCCCTTTTTAGTCACACCTGAACATCGCTAATCCCTGGCCACCACTAATCTGTTTCTACCTCTATCTACCATTTGAACTCTGAAAGCAAGTGACTGGTGAGGGAGGTGGAGATGGTAATTGGCTTTCTCAGTATTGAAAATGATGAGCTGGGGTGGCGGTGGTGGCGGTGCACGCCTTTAATCCCAGCAGTCGGGAGGCAGAGACAGATCTCTGTGAGTTCAAGGCCAGCCTGGGCTACAGAGTGAATTCCAGGACAAGGCTCCAAAGCTACACAAAGAAACCCTGTCTCGGAAAAAAAAAATGATAAATGTTATAATTGGCTTATGATGGAATGGGCGGTCCACCCTGCCTGTGCAGGGTCCCTCTCCAGGCCTCTCTCTCACACGGGGGAGTTGTGTCAAGGTAGGTGAGCAGCCCTGGCTTGCTCCTCCGCCTCTGGGAAGAAAGGGTGAGGGACAAGTTAGCAAGAAGAGCCCCCAGCTGCCATCGTTTCCTGAGCCAGAGGTGTTCATGCTGGTCTCCTTGCCACACTGGTGGGCACAGCTTTGCCTGGGGATCTGTTCTTCCCGGGATTTCAGCACCAAAAGGGGAGCATGGGGCTGCACCCCTGCAGTTCTTCCCTCTCCACGGAAGGAGTGCTGAGATATCCGCATCCCACAGCCCCAGGATTGAGTCTTGGCAGTACACTCCTAATCTGCTCCTGTTCTTAGCCTTGTGTGCTAGGGGCTGCCTGGGTTGGCCAGTGGGGGGGGGGGGGGGCGATGAGCTAGGAAGCCAGGTGTTGGGAGTTGGGAACTAGAACTCACATCCCGTGCAGCCCTGAGAACACCAGTACTTTATACGGAGCATAATGTAGTTAGGTGGCCTGGGTTCGAGTCGTCAGGTCTGCCGCTTAGCTGTGTAAGTTTGGATAAGTCACTTTACCCCGTCAGCGTCCTCATCTGCAGTATTATGAAAATGGGAGTGACAGAGACTGAAAGTTAGCTTGGGACAAGGCGCGACACAAGTGTAAGCTAATAGTCTGCCATTATTTTAAGTTCCTGATAGTAGTTCTGGTTTACCTTGTGATTAGGAACGCACTCCCCTGCCATTTTACCGGTAAGGAAATGGAGCAGATTCCTCTTGCAGCAGGTTAAATGTCTATCGCTGGGTCACAGCTAGGACTGACCATTAGGGTCAAACTCCAGAGCCCTGGGTCTGACAATTATCCATTGAAGCTGCGGGGCATCCTTATACAGGATCCCAACCTATCTCAGCTTGGGTGAGGAACGGGTGGTGGGGTGGTGGCGGCTGGCTAGGTCCACCCTGGAGAGGCCCCCATGTCACCTGTCCTCCCCAGATGGCCTACCAGGTGGTGAAGAAGAGCGCAGCCCTGGACACCCTGCAGTCACAGCTGGAGGAGCGCCAGGGCCGGTGAGATGAGGGTCGGGCGGGGTCTTGCCTCAGGCGAGGGGATGGGAAGGGCCCCTAGAGCTTTCCCCAAGCGCCCCCTAGACCTGTGGTTGGGGGTTAGAGGCCACCGCCTGATGTCTCCGCCCTGCAGGCTGGAAGCCCTGCAAGCCTGCGTGGTACAGCTAAGCGAGGCGCGGGCGCAGCAGTCCCGGCAGCTGGAGGAACTGCAGGCGGAGAACGCAGCGCAGAGAGAAGCCTACCGGGCGCTGCTAGAGCAAGCAGCACACCAGGAGGCCGCACTGCGCAGGCTCCAGGAGGAGGCACGGGACCTGCTGGAGCGGCTTGTGCAGCGTAAAGCGCGTGCCGCTGCCGAGTGCAATCTGCGTAATGAGCGAAGAGAGAGGTGAAGGCTCTGGGCCACGCCCCATCAGAAATAGGCCACGCCCCCGGGAGGCAGTGTGGACTCAACCTGGTTGAGAGGGCTGGGAATGGGGCGGGGCGGGGGAGGTTAGGGCCTTCCATTGATCAGAAGGGACCCGCTTAAGCTGGGCCACTCCACCTGCAAAGCATCCCCTTTAGGATGCTTTTCTTTCTGCCAGAGCCAACCAAGCCCGGGTGTCCCAGGAGCTGAAAAGAGCGGCTAAGCGGACTGTGAGCATCACCGAGTAAGAATGGGGAGGGAACAGGGCTGACTCTCTGGGTTGCTGCCCTGGGATGTGTTCACTACCTACAGTCTATCTGCACCCCACTCCTGCTAGCTTGCAAGTGGCTACAGGTACACCTGGGTGCCTGTTTGCACAGGTCAGGTCCCTGGCCAGGTGTAGAGATATGTGTGGTCATGGAAGCCAGTCCATGGCTCTTAGCTGCTGGGGATCACTTATTTTTGTGTACTGCTGGGGCGGGGAGGGGTGACCTTCTTTGGTCTTCCCTCCCAGGATCCCAAACACTCTAGAAGGTGGGGCCAGGGAGGAGCCTGCACCTCTATCTCCTGTTGCTACACCCGAGTTCCTGGAGAGTGAGACTTGTGAGAAATGGAAGAGGCCTTTCAGGTGAGCATCCAGGTACTCTCCTACCTCAGTTGGCTCCCGCCCAGAAGGCTGCCCATGTCTTTTTCCAGGATCGGGGCCAGCTTTTGGAGAGGCCTGTGTACAGCCCAGTACTGTTCTGACCTCAGTGCCTGGAGGCAGGCAGTGTTACTCCATTCTCTACTTCCAAGAACCAGGGCTCTTAGGGTGAGCCATAAAGCTTATGAAAGAGTGTCACTGGGAGGAAAGTGGACAAGACCCAAGGCTCAGGTGTCCCAGGCTTGTGTGTGTGAGCACAGGAGTGCATGTGTGTGTCCGCACAGGGACATGAGCATGTGTGCAAGGTTAGTGAGCATATCTGAGTGTGAGCCTGTGTTAAAGTGTGTTCACGCTTGAGCTATGACAGGAGCTTGAATCTTCAGGTGTCTCTCTGCTCAATTCCCCCCTCTATATATAGGGGGGTCTCATGTAGCTTGACTCAATGTATAGTCAAGGATGACTTCAGACTCCTGGTCTTCCTCCCAACAGCTGGGATTAGGACATGTGCCGGCACATATCTGGCTTCTACCACATCTTGATTGGCTTGTCATTGGGCTGCCAGTCCTTCCCCATTTGCTGGCCTGAAGGCTCTTTTCCAGAAGTCTTTCCTTCAGGAACCTCTGTCCCTGGGAGAGTGAATGAACAGGAGCATCATGAAATGCTGGTTCCCCAAATTCTGGCAGCCCCAATGGTCTAGATGTCTCAGCACAAACATTTACTTGGGTGTTTTGAGGGCTGCTGAGCAAGCTGGGGTTTTCCCCACTCACTGTCTCAGCCTGCGAGCATCGTTCTCTTCCTTAGCCCTCTCCACAGGCTGGGGCTCGGTGTCTCAGGAGCTTTTGTTGGTGAGCACCTGGGGAATGAGACTCTTTGTCATCTTGGTGGAGACCTGGGGAGGTGTTCATTGCCAAGACTCTCCCTCCCGCCACCCTTCTTGGTTAGTCTGTGTCACGCCTCTCCTAGCTTTCAGTGAATCGAGTTCTGGTTCTTGCCTTGAGTGATCATGACCTCAGAGGTCCCTCGCGAAATATAGGGATCAGTGACTGCTGGTACCATGAGCCAGGCTCTCAGTGTGCCTCTCATTCTGCCCCAGGTCTGCCTCGGCCACCTCTCTGACACTGTCCCGCTGTATGGATGTGGTGAAGGGGCTGCTGGAGTAAGTGTGTGTGCACATGTGTGAAGGGATTGGCACCCCCTGGAAGGCTCCTCGAGCCTAGCCTTGGTCTGTCCATCCATATGATGTCTGTCTGTCTGTGCATCTTGTTGGGCCCCACAGGCAGGATCTGGGTGGATAGCTCGAGACCAACTCCTGATAACTATCTTCCAGGTTCGTAATACTCTGTCCTTATTCAGGGTCCTCATAGGGGACTAAGTGCTCCAGCCTGAGGTTGACCAAGAAGGCCCACTTAGTTGGGAAACTGAGGCTCAGATAGGTCTAAGATTTGTTCAGTTACTTAGCCTAGCAGTGGTAATGCCATTACCAGAATTCCAGCCAGCCTTAACGTTTTTTTGTCCCTACGACCTTGTCTTGTGTCTGCTAGTCTCTGCCCGCATCCCCACAGGGGTCAGGCTGGGTTGTGGACCTTGGGGAGTGTCCCCGCCACCTGCCATGTCTGCTTCTTGTTGTTGCTGCCTCAGGAGAGCTAAAAGTCCCCATGTTAGCAGGTTTCGCTGAATGCTTTTCTCTTCCCACCCCTGTAGCTTCAAGAAGAGGCGAGGTCACTCGGTTGGGGGTGCCCCTGAGCAGCGGTACCAAAGCATCCCTGTGTGTGTATCTGCTCAGATTCCTACCCAGGCTCAGGATGTCTTGGTAAGGAAGGAGCTGGGCCTCATGTCTGGGGTGCTAATGAGAATGTTCAAGGGTGGACCAAGTGGGCTGAGAAAGCAAGGCTAGGCCTCAGCAGGAGGAGTTTGTCTGTAGCCTGTGGCGGAGACACAGCATTTTACAGGAGAGCACAGACTAGAGTGGGGTAGGAGGCCGACACTCAGCATGAGGCATGGGGCAGCAGGGGTCCAGACATAGTTAAGACCTGGTGGGGCCAAATGTGAAACTTAGGGTTTTCAGAGACCCCCAAAGGGAGCTGCTAGGCCAGGAAGAGCTGTGAAAATGCCTGTGAGTGGGCACAAAGAGGCATGCATGGGGAGGATCTGGGGTACCAACTCCTCCCCTCCTTATTTTAACAGGATGCCCATCTCTCAGAGGTCAATGCTGTTTGTTTTGGCCCCAACAGCAGCCTCCTGGCCACTGGAGGGGCTGACCGGCTTATCCACCTCTGGAATGTCGTGGGAGGTTAGAGCTCCTTCCTCAAAGTCAACCCAGCACTCTCCTGCAGACCCCATTCTCAGCTTGATCCTGGTTGGCCCTGGTCTTAGACCTGTCCCCCCTGTCCCCTGCTGGAAGGAGCCTATGAACAGTGGCTAGAGAACTCTGAGGAAGAGGGACCCTGAGCTCTTGCTCTCAAGGAGAAGCTCCTTGGGTTCAGACCTGCAGGATAGGGAGGGCCAAGCCCAGATGGCTGTTGTTGGAGGAGGTAGGGACACCTGATCCTTCCTGAAGGCATGTAGAGCCAAGTCTTGGGCAAGTCCCTGGGTCTACCAAGCCACCTCCTTTTCATTTTTAGACAGGATTTCATTAAGTAGCCCTCGCTGGCCTGGAACTCACTATGTAGACCAGGCTGGCCTCCAACAGACCAGGTGCCTCTGCCTCCTCTGTGCTGGTATTAACTCTGTGCCAATGTGCCCAGAGTAGCTACATCCTATGCTCGTATCACTTAGACTCCCAGAAATCAATGAGGTGACCAACACTGACTGTCCACCTTGTTTTCGGATGTGTGCTCTGTAGGGAGGGGGACTGGGCACCAACTCCTGAAGGCTTCCCAGAAGTGGGTCTGCAGCTAGCCCGGCCTGGCCTGCTGTGTGACCTAGGGACATTCCTTTCTCTCTGGTCTTCTCTAGCACTGGGAACTGCCTAGTTGCCCCTAGGGCTGTACAGCAGTTCTAAAAGGTGCACTCTCTCCCCAGGCCAAGCCAGACCCAGCCACTCTATCCTCTACTTCCTGTTCGGTGTCTCAGTTCCTCTATTTTGTAAGGCTAATAATCTCATCTACTATCCCTTCCCCTGCTTTCAGGTCGCCTGGAGGCCAACCAGACCCTCGAAGGAGCTGGTGGCAGCATCACCAGTGTGGATTTTGACCCCTCGGTAAGGAGACTTTGCCCCAGTGGCATGGATGTCACCTCAGTCTCTACACAGGGCAGTGGGGCTCTGGGGCCTGCGGGCACATTGTGGGTGTCTTAGAACCTACCCTGGAGGAGCTGCCCTCACCTCCTTGGGCCATGGCTCCGCCTGCCTCAGTGACTGGGAAGCTTTGAGGCAGTCTACCCTGGCTCTCTGGCCCGAGGGCCAATGCCTCTGTCAGGCCCACTGTGGCCCAGGACCTCTCCTACTCCCTTTTTCTAGGGCTCCCAGGTTTTGGCAGCTACTTACAACCAGGCTGCCCAGCTCTGGAAGGTGGGGGAGACACAGTCCAAGGTGAGGCCTGGCTGGGGACGCTACCTAAGGGTTAAGGGTCATGCCTCAGGATTTGCAGAGTGGCTATTTGGGGGGCTTGGCTTAATCTGTGCTTTCTGTGGGGACAGGAAACATTGTCTGGACATAAGGACAAAGTGACAGCTGCCAAATTCAAGCTAACAAGGCATCAGGCAGTGACTGGGAGCCGAGACCGGACTGTGAAGGAATGGGACCTGGGCCGCGCCTACTGTGAGGCTCAGTCCCACTTGCCCCAACTCCTAGTCACAGGGACCTTACCTTATTCTCTAGCGGTGGCTCTGGGATTCATGTCATTGGGCCTCAGACCTCTAATGATTTCCCTTCTCTGTCACTCCTGCTGTTCTCTTGCTGCTTTCGTGGTGACCTTGGTCTTTAGAGGTAGGGTGAGCCCTGGGCTGGGAAGGCCTGCACCCCAGTCTTGGAAGGAGACTGCTCACCTTCAGTGGCTGCCGCTGATGCTGAGACTCTGGGTTCTCCTCATTGGTCCTCAGGTTCCAGGACCATCAATGTACTTTCCTACTGTAATGACGTGGTGTGCGGCGACCACATCATCATCAGTGGGCACAATGACCAGAAGATCCGGTTCTGGGACAGCAGGTGACAGGCACGGCTGTGGGTGGTAGAGGCCCTGAGTTATTGTTCCTTTCTCTGGCTGTGTCAGGGTTGTGGGACCTTGGGGAAGTGTGCCAGTGGGTGGCTTCTGCTGGGCATGGTCTTTGAGGGTTCAGTGTGTCTGGGGAGCTGTTCCACATTCTCAGTGGCTCTCAAGTCAGCACCGAACGCTTCCCCAGGTCTTAGAACCATCATAGACAAGCACCTTTTCCATATTTACCACCACATTTTAGTCAAAAGCAGCAAAAAAGAATAGTTGGCTGACCATGGCAGGGCTAGTGCTTTGTCGGTCTCTGCGGCCTCTCTTTTTGAGATTGCTCATTTGCCTGGGGTTGAACCAAGGGCTTTTTATCTGCTAGAATGCTCCCAGCCTTTTTAGGTACTTATTTTGAGAAAAGATCTCAATAAAGTTTTCCAGGCTGGCCTTGAACTTATGATTCTCCTGTCTCAGCTGTGATTACAGGCCTGTCACCATGTCTGGTTAACACTATTATTCCCAAGTGATCCAAACCTTCCAAGTGACCCAAGGCTCCAGCTCTCAAATCAGTCTCTCCATGGACAGCTGGCTGTAGTGGGAAGGGCTGGTAGTCCTGTCAGCCTCAGCCCCAGGGATCCAGGCCTGGGGTGCCTCTGGAATACTTTAGCTGGGAAAGTGGCCACATACAGCCTGTCAGAAGTACCCTAGGATGCCTCTTCCTCATCCTTCTCTATCCCTATTCCCCTCCCTCCTGCCAGGGGCCCCCACTGCATCCAGGTCATCCCTGTACAGGGCCGGGTTACCTCCCTGAGCCTCAGCCATGACCAGCTGCATCTGCTTAGCTGTTCCCGAGACAATACACTCAAGGTCATTGACCTGCGAATCAGCAATATCCGACAGGTGTTCAGGTACTGGGCCTGTTGGGCCTCTCCTGTGCAAGGTCCTGGGGGGCACTCCCTGGTAGCCCCTCTAGACTAGGACCTGCTGGCCCCTTCTCACATCTGGAGGAGGACAGGCACACTGGAAACAGCCTGCATGCTGACTCTAGCCCTGTTCTGTCCTCAGGGCGGATGGCTTCAAGTGCAGTTCTGACTGGACCAAAGCTGTGTTCAGGTGTGTCTGGGAGGGCATGCCTGTGTAGCCCGTCCGTCCGTCCGTCCATCTGTGTGTGTGTGTGTGTGTGTGTGTGTGTGTGTGTGTGTGTGTGTGTGTATGTATGTACTTCTGAACCCCTTCTCATCTGCTGCTGTGACCTGTCCAGCCCTGACAGAGGCTATGCACTGGCAGGCTCCTCAAATGGAGCCCTGTACATCTGGGATGTGGACACTGGGAAACTGGAGAGCAGCCTACAGGGACCCCACTGGTGAGCACACCACCACACGCATACCTTCCACGTGCGTTTGGGCCCATTGCTGCCACGGTCCTGGGAGCCCATTTTATAGATGAGGAAATGGTCTTGGGCTTAGCGAGGCTCCTCCAGCTGCCTAGGTCGGATGCCCAGGGGCAGAGTCAAGCTGCTTGCCTGCTCCTGCTGCCCTCCTGATGTCTGTCTTCCCTCTTCAGTGCCGCTGTCAACGCTGTGGCCTGGTGCTTCTCTGGGAACCATGTTGTGAGTGTGGACCAAGGCAGGAAGGTGGTGCTCTGGCACTAGGGGCACAGTTCCCCTGTATGGATTGGAGCTGTGTTCTGAAGCCCGAAGCCAGAGAACGGCCTGCTTCTGATCAGGACTCCAGAGCTGCGCTTTGACTCAACTGTAGATGTTATGTGAGGGCCTGGCAGGACCCGGCCTGTTCGTTTAAAATCGAAGTGTGAGTCACGGATTACAATTTTTTAAAAGTCTCCGGGTGGTGGTGGTGCACGCCTTTAACCCCAGCCCTCGGGAGACAGAGGCAGGCAGATCTCTGTGAGTTCGAGGCCAGCCTGGACTACAGAGTGAGTTCCAGGACAGGGCTCCAAAGCTACACAGAGAAACCCTGTCTCGAAAAGCGAAAAAAAAAAAAAAAAAAAAAAAAAAAAAAAAGAAAAAAAAATTAAAAAATGTTTATTTTCCTCAAAATGGGGGAAAAAAAAACTACCTGTGTCTTGCCTCTTTGAAACATTTGGGGGGTACAGGGATATTGGCTGTTCCAGTCTAACCGTGGAATAGCATTTAGAAAGGCCCAAGCAAGGGCAGGGAAGAGCAGTAGCTCTTGGGGCTCGTGGAGGTCCTGGTGGAAAGGGCCCCAATAAGCTAGAGTGACATCAGAATACATTCAAGAGGCCTGCCTGAAGACTGGGACCATGTTCTGGCCTGCCTCCTGCCACTGTCTCCGCCCTTCCGTGTTAGCCCCGCCCCTCACAGTGACTGGGCTGCTGGGTTTGCTCCTCTCCACCGGTGCCTCACCCCTCTAGCCTTGTCCTCACCAGAAGCAGTTTCCTTAGCTTTTTGTTGTTGCTGTTTTGGACACAGTCATGTTCTGTAACCCTGGCTAGTCAGGTACACGTGTAATAGCTTAGAGTAGAGTAGGCTCGGAGCCTAGGAAATGTGGCCTCAGCCTCAGTGCTGGGATGGCAGGCACTTACTGTCCCACACCGCATCTATGGTGTCAGGGTCAGCGTGGTCAGAAGTCCAGCACTTTGGTGTCCTACAGTGCTTCTTCCTCTGCCTTCAATGTCCTTGTCCTTCCCATGGCATTCAGGCTGTCTTTTGGGATCCCTTTATTGACAGCCTACCCTGACGGGCCAGCTGGGTAAGAGGCCTTTGTCCCTCACCTCCAGTTTGCCTCCCTTCTTAAATCTGGGAGCAAGTCTAAGAGTGGGAACAGTATTTCCTGCATCCAGGCCTGGCTCAGAAGCCACAGGAAATGCTTCCTGAGTGGTCACAGTCTCTTGTTCAGCAAGTTCAACAGTCCAAGGTTCCAGGAATGGGGCATACCTACAGTTCAAACCTCGCCCCTCAGTCTCCGCCCAGCTCTCAGTGGCCACTAGGGGTCACTAGTTGCCTGGTCAACAGTCTTGGTTGTTTCTGGGAAGGGCTAACACTCCCAGTGGCCACCATTACTGAGTCACCCAGGCCTCAGCCTTGCTCTGCTCTGCAGCCTTGTTTCTCCAAACCACGTGTGATGCATCATGTTCTACAAATGGGAAGTGAGGCTTGACGGTTGCCATTCAGGTTCACACAGCTACTAACAGCTGAATTGTTCTGCATCGCAGCCCTTTCTTTTGAAACATGGCCTATGTAGCCGAGTATGACCGTGAATGTATGATTCTCCTGCCTGGGCCTCCACCTCCCAAGTGCTAGCATTACAGATGTGTACCCTCATCCCATACGGTCCCCTATGACTGAACCTCGGGGCTTTGTGTGGGCCAGGAAAGCGGTCTACCAACTACATCTTCAACCCACACCCTCTTTTTAAAAAAAAAGTTATTTTAGGTGTATGAGTGTTTTGCTTGCGTGCAAGTGTGCTGTGTGTGTGCCTGGTGCCCACACAGGCCAGATTCCCTTAAACTGAAGTTATGGTTATGGATGAGCTGTCATGTGGGTGCTGGGAATTGAACCTGGGTCCTCGGTAAGAGCAGCAAGTGCTCTTAACCTTTGAATCATTTCTCTAGCCCCTGCACCACAAAACCAAAATCTCTCAAGAGATAGGCTCCCAACTGGGCAGTGCTCCTCCACCAGAGGTAGACAGAGCTGTGCCTAACCTGACTCTCCCAAGTGCTCTTCCATTTTCAACTCTGAGCTGAAGGTTATGTCTGTTGAAATGAGGCACATGCAGGGACACCAGAGTGAGTCCTGGGAGGCTGCTGCCAAACACTCCATCTGAGCCAAGTCCCTCCAGATGTTTTTGTCATACCTCAAGTAGTAGTGAACTCTATTTTGATGACCCATAAGAGTTACCCAGTAAATGTAAATCACTTCTGGGTACAAGGACCCTTCGGCCCCTCCAGCTCCCCTGAGGGAGCTCATGTGAATCCCCAAGGAAGAATCAGGGCCAGCAAGAGACCTCTAGGACCCCTAATAAAAACTGGAAAGGCCTGTGCATGGAGAGAAACCGAGAAGTGGCAGGAGTTTGCCTGAGGTTACAGCAGAACTATGTGAAAGGGACTTAGGCTTATTTGGTAGGATGCTTGCTTGGCATGCAGAAAGCCCCATGTATGTCCAACTTCCTGCACCACATAAAACTGAGTATTGTATATTATGCCTGGAATCAACACTCAGGCAAGAGGATCAGAAATTCAGTCATTCTGAGTTGGAGGCCAGCCTGGGCTACATGAGACTCTATTCAAAAGATTTTAAAAAGAAGCCAGAACAACAAAACAAAAAAATGGGTGAAGATTCTGATTCCCTTTGGCAAAAACTAGACTCAGGTTCAGTAGAGGGACTGTCCTAATCTTGTGGGAACTAGTTTGGCTTCTGCTCCCAATCCTCTCTATACGTCTCAGGCTAGCCCCAGTGGCTTCCTGGCTGTGTGTGTACCCCTCCATGGAACTTCCCTCAGGGGCCGATCTACAGGTATGAGGACTGCTGCCTGAACTGCCCAGGCTCAAGCCTTACTGATCTTGAGACCCCAGGGATAAGAAACAAGTCCTGGTGTAGGGATCCTACTCTCCAGTCCTGGCTCAAGCCGGTTCTTGAGTCTCTCACAAGATGTGAGCCCCTCCAGTGCCCAGTAGGTGGCCTCTGGAGGGGTCCTGACCCCAGGTGTAAGCCCACTTGTGAGATTCAGACATAACACGGGTACCATCTCTGCTGGAAGTACATCCACTAGTCAATATCTTCAGTTCATTTATACCTTACCTTATTTAATCCTAGGTCTGAGGCAGTTTATATTATCTTCTCACTCCCAAGTTACAGATGAGGAAATTGAGGTCTGAGACTGAGATCATGGCAGAGGGTGTCCACAGTTCTTTCCCTGCTCCTTACTGGTGTGTTTGGCACACAAGCCTGTGACCCCTGCTCACAAGGTTCTTTCTATTATGCTTCAGGATAACATTTAAGAACATGTTCCCTGAACAGCACTCTCAGAAAAAGACATGAAAGAGTTCAATGTGGTTTTCTGGCCACTGGGTCAATACACTCTGGTGTTCTTGTGGTTCTCAGCAGCTCGTGCTCTAACAAAAAATTTAGGAAAAAAATCAATTCTCCATTTTCTGACATAAAATTTCTGTAATTTGGTTGTATTTCTGACGCATATGTATACACACCACCTTATACTAAATAAATGCAGAGGATTTAGTGCAGCCAGATATTGTCACAGGCCGTTCAAGAGAGCTGGGCAGTAATTAGAACCAAATCCTAGAGCTGTGGCTGTCACTGGTGCAGCCTGGGAGTGTCATTGTAATACAGAGCATAATAATTGCCTTGTCTCTGGAGATGAGTCCAGGGACCTGAATTTTGTTTTTTTTCTCTTGCCACCCCAGGAAATCCATGTCTATTTTCAAACATCGTGAGCTTCTGTGTAGTTTCCTCCTGCATCTAGAATAATTCAACTGATCTAGAGGGAGGGTTTCATTGCATCCTTTGGGTTTTTCTAGACAGGGTTTCTCCGTGTAGTTTTGGTACCTGTCCTGGATCTCACTCTGTAGACCAGGCTGGCCTCAAACTCACAGAGATCTGCCCGCCTCTGCCTCCCGAGTGCTGGGATTAAGGGTGTGCGCCACCGCTGCCTGGCTCATTGCGCCCTTTTTAAAGGTGGAGTGGTAGCGATGGGGAGGGAAAGATGTCCCATTAGGTAGTGGCAGGGCTAAAGCCGGAAACATTCTCCTACTCTAACTCTAACTTACGGACCTAGGCTTAGAGAGTGACCAGCTAATGAACAGTGAGTCTATGGGCTGACGGCTTGGTCAGCTCCCATGACAAGGGAAGTCAACATGGATGACACTGGGGTAGGACAACTAGCTGAACTCTGACCTAAGTTGAAGACCACATCTCCAAGACTAGTGTCAGACTTGAAAGTGAGCTGCCTTCACTGCAGAAAATGTGTCCTTACAGTCTTTTCCAGATTTATGGCACTTCAAACCTTGTTCTTCCTGTGGGTTGCTGTGTGGCTAGGGGATGGAAAAGAACACCTCGCCCTGAAGACCTTTAAGGCTGAGAGGTGATAGTGCAAATGGTGTTAGTATGCCCCCCTGTGCTACATACACACTTTGTGTCCTTCCTGGGTCTAGGCTTCTCAGGCTGCAGGACACAGGGTCAGTCCTCATAGCTGCCCCAAGTGGCTCAGCCAGGATTTAATAACCCATACCTGACTTCCAAGTCCATGTTGCTCCACATGCTGATGGTGGAAATGTAAATGGATGCAATACTTTTGGAAGCCAATTTGCCAAAAATCTAACAAAAGTAAATATATACCCATTCTATCAAATTCTACATTTAGGAGTTTGCCCAATATTTACAATGGAACAAATTTGTAAGGAAATATACACAGTGATGTTAGCTTCAATTTCCTAGAAGCAAGTGGCTAGAAACAACTTAAATGCCCTTCACTAAAGGAATGATTAAATGATTACATAGCCAAACAACTGAATATGGTGCAGCCATGGAAGAGAATGACAAAACGTGGCCGGTGAGATAGCTCAGTGAGTAAAAGCTCTTGTTCAATCCTCAGAACCCACAGGGAAAAAAAGCACGATACAGTGGTACACATTTGTAACCTAGCACTTCTGTAAGATGGGTGGTCTTGGGGTACACAGCACAACAAAAACAAGAAACCTGCCTCAGCAAAGTGGAGAGAAAGTCATCTCTCAAAAATTGTCCTGATCCACAAACATGTGCTGTGGTACATACACACTTGCACTCACATACACATCATACATATCATAATTTGTGAGTTCCTCCACACCCAGGCTGGGCACTAGTCCTTGGCTTGTGGTTGTTTGGAAGCCAGAGGGACTCATCTTGCAACTAGATCACCAGCATGCCTACTAGTCCTGGCCTCCAATACTAACCTGTCTTTTCACCTCTCTTGCTGGAAAAGAATAGCATCAGGATCTTATTGTCTGGGTGGACTCA